AGAGAGAGAGAGAGAGAGAGAGAGAGAGAGAGAGAGAGAGAGAGATTGAGCGTTAGAAGGTCTGTTTCTTGCCCATAACTTTGCGAATAATTGTGTGCAAGAGAGCGAAATTATACCCGCTCTTATAATTCGCAGTTTTTAGCAGTTTACGGTTAAAGACCGTGCGAAGAATTGCTAGGATACGGAGCAACACTGCGAGCGCAATTTTGCAAAGTCATAAAAGAAAGTCGTATCGAAGTAATATCGCTTATCGCGCCGGGTCGCCGGAAGAAGGGAAAATTTCGGAGTAGGCAGGAAGCGAGAGCCCGCAGCAAATTTAGCGATAGCGCGGTAATAAAATAACGCGTTGAACGTAAGCGAAGACGTATGTACCCCGGGGAATCCCGGTAGCGTACCGCTCCTCTCCCCAGCCCCTTGTCTGTCGCGTCTCCTCGCGTTTGGCGGGGTCGGCGAGCGCCGTTATAGAGCGAGTTATTATCGATGTCGCGACGTTTATTATTATTAATGGCGGCGCGACAAAACTTTCCTCGCGAAATCTCGCGCATCCGTCGTATCGGTGCCTCATCCATATCTGGATTTCGATATGAATGTTCCGAGTCAATTTCGGAAAATCTCAGCTTGCTTTTATTCTCGATCGCTGTCAGTTATTGATAACGATCGCGCACATCGGCGAAACTTCTCAGTGGTTATCTAGACGGTATTTTTCTTCTTTATCGTTTTCTCTTCATCCTTTCCCTCGTGTAAATATAACGCTCGTGTAAACATACATACATACATACATACATATATATATATATATATATATATATATATATATATATATATATATATATATATATATATATATATATATATAACACAATTCTTTCCGCATAATTTTGCAAAACAGTTACATTGAATCATCCCCATTCGCTTCTCCCCTCTTAATTCTATATTTGGGCAATTTGGAAGCAGTGGCTTTTTATTATTAATATTACAATTCCCACGAATTTTGCTTGTTTAATTTGAATTTCCAGCTGATCTCGCAAATTATAAGCATATCTTTTTGCGCTTGACACACTCCCATGAATTTTAGTATCCGCGATTTCTAATGTGCGTTCAATAATTTCAGTCAATGGAAGTCATACCTATTTATCATATGATTAATTGAATTTACTGCCGGATTGCATTGTTTATTTAATTAATTGTCCGCCCGCGCCGGTGTGCACTCGATGACAGATATCGCGATGTATCGACAGCCATCTCGGGTTTTGCATCGCTAATATACATGTGAAACATTTTCAGTGACCGCTGCCCTCCAGTAACCTCAAATTCCTCCTCATGTTTTACTTTTCATTTCTTCGGATTCCCTAAGACGCTCAAGTAATCTCTCATGTTCCTCCAAAACTTCTTCCTCATGTTGTCTAAGAATCTAAATCCCTTGGCTAGCTCATTGAACTCTGAATTCTTCAAAAAGTAAATGTACTAAGCAAGGACGTTTAGACCCGCATTGCAAGGAAGTCTGATTAACGCAGGGGCCCGGAAGTTTACACAAATTTTGGATAAAAAGTCGCGGGAAGCGCCGAAACTTAAAGTTTCGTCGCCGCGCCAAGGAAAGGAAAAACCGAAAAGCGCGAAATTAGCGAGCAAGTCGTCGATAAATCCGCAGGCGGCATAGCGCGGAGCGTGTCTGGTGGACGTTATTAATTTCTAACGAGCAAGTAATCGGCCGAAACTTCTTTAAACTCGTTCCCGTGGATCCGGAAAGCTGGAGAATTAACTCCGGAAATTCCTGGCCGCCCTCCGCAGCGATGTATTAACAATTTAACGAGCCGACACCTGCGATGGCTATTATAGCGCAATTATATGGAACGCGCGCCCCGTGCCGCCAGCTTGGACTACGAAGGACACAGCATAATCCTACCCGGATCTAAGGATCCCGGAAACCAAGGATTTACATGTCATGAAGTTGAATTAAATAAAACTCATTTGTTTCGCGACCTCGTAGCGGCGATATTGTAATAATAGCGTCTTGGTCGTGAAATATGCCATTTTACACAAAATAATTATTCCTCCAACATCTGCGAGAACCCTGAAATTTCAAAGACTTCTACGTTGCGAGATTGAATAACGTGGAGTCTTTCTTTTTGCCTTATATAACAACGTCACTGCTCTAAAAAGAACATTTTTTACATCATTGAAGTATCTTAAGCCCTCCAATCGTTTTGCTTTTATTAAAGTTAAAGATACAGAGTCCTAAGAATCTAAAGTTTTCAAGAGCTTAAGTTTCAATATACAAAAGATTCAAAGTTCGGGGAATTCAAAGACTGTGAAGTACATATGCTCAAGCTTTTGCTCCTCGGATTCCTGTGTATCTCGAGATCCTTTAATTTTAAACTTGCAGCTTTGCGAATCCTCGGATCGCAAAATTCATACATCTTCAGCTACGAAGCTTTAAATTTTGAAATCTCACAGTCGCAGGGACATATCAAGGTTCCTTGGTATTGAGATGCATGGAAGGAGGGAAACTTTTCGAGGACGAGGACAGAGAAGGAGGGCTGAACGTTAGGGGGTTAGACGGGGACGACAGTTCAGTGGCGGGGTTATAAAAAGTAGTAATTCGCATGGGGTTCATAAAAATGTTTATCACCGTCAATAAAAGGGCTCCCAGGACGGCGGCAGCGGCTCGGTGTCTTTTCTTCGGTATGTCTTCCTCGCAGAGAAGGTAAAAAGAGCGGGAACAAAGGAACCCCTGATTTTAACGGTGAAGCAGTCGATAAAATCCGCCAGCCATTGTTGTAACTTTTGCAAAGAATCTCAACGTTATATAAAAAACGATTTAATTAATAATTAATTATTAGATTTAATAGTAGCACATTTAACCAGCATATTCGGAATGTCCTTCATTATTACCTGAAATATATAACAAGTTTATACGTGTGTGTAACATGCTAGTTTTACTACTGTTAGTTTTAAAACTGAAATATAGATCAAGCGCGCGGTAATGTTGCATTTATAATATGAATTAAAATATAAAATTATATTTATAAAGCAAACACATGTAATATGCAATATCAGTAACCATTAAAATAACAAATTTCAATTAATACTATAACATAAACGTAACATTGTTATGGTATATACTTAAAATTTAAAAATACAGGATTTGAAAATATAATTATTTGCGGAAGATCGAATGTGTTAAAATTATGAGAATTATCTCAGAATTTTACAAAAAATTTTTCCCCAGAGATCACCGCGCAAAGATCGATGGGAGCAAAATCGAAAAAGCGCCGGTAGTCTTGAGTATCGTGTCTTATTATTCCTGAAGCTTGACTTCTAGTAAGCTCTGCGGCAAGCTTCTCGGCACGTCCTTGCCGCAAACAAGCCTCCTCGGCTGCTGAAGCGAAAGCTCGAGGATAGCCATGAGTATCGACCATTCGGAGTATCGACTCCCGAACACCTACGATAATCAACGAGCCGATATAACATCGTTGGATGGTATGCATCGGCTTTGTAACCGCAAAGGGTGTGACCGTGAACGCTAGAACACGGATCAGTAGTTTAAAATAGAACGATAATAAACTTCGAGATACGCCGCGCACTTTCGCGCGAACAGGATGTCGGAATGTACTCGGGGGTGCATCGAGTTTATGTGCAAGGTACAAAATTCTATAAACTCAAAGTCTATGAACTTGGAATTTCGAGAATACGAAATTCCGCGCGCGCGAGTGTGTGTGTGTGTGTGCGCGCATGGGCGCGCGCTCTCCAGAGAACGTGTATGCAGAAATTCAAACGTCAATTCAGAATCTTGGGATTCTAGACGGTTCTAAAGATACGAAATTCCAACCGCAGCGCGGAGTTGTGCTGAAACACGCATACAGCTGTAAGAATCAAATGTCCCGGGATGCCGGCTTAAATCGGCGGGGCGAAATTTCTCGATACACACGAGTCTCCAGATGTTCCCGGCGAGTGAACCCAACCGTGAAACGATTATTCATCCCCCCGCCAATCTCGCGCGATTTTTACACGCGCCCGTCGCGCGTCGAATCGACGTTGCCCTGGAGAAGGCCAATTTCGAAAATTACTCGCGGCGGTCGGGCGGTTGCGAGGGTGGAGGGGCTATCCCCTTTCACGTCGTTGCCGAATTACCGACCCTGCGTCCCTGTGAGTGACGTTATCACGCTGCATTTGGTGCATTTGATGCATCCGGTGGCTTCATGCGGGGCCACGGGAATGTCTGGCCGAGACAGCCGAGTCAGTGCATTCGATATTCCATATTGCGCCTCTGCTTACCAACAGGTACGCCCCGTTGACT